GCAAGGCAAGGGCAAGGCAATGCAGTTTATTTATATAGCACTTTCCAACACAAGGCAATTCAAAGTGCTTTACAAAAAATGAAAGAGATTAAGAAAAATGGCATTTAAAATCAGTCATTAAAAGAAAAGCTAATGAAAGAAACATTAAAAGAAAAAATACATGGATAAAGTTACAGTGCAATTAAACATTAAAAGAAAAGTACATGGATAAAAGTTACAGTGCAGTCTAAGATATGAATAGTTCAATTAAAAGCAGCGACAAAAAGAAAAGTCTTCAGCCTGGATTTAAAAGTAGTAAGAGTTGCAGCGGACCTGCAGGTTTCTGGGAGTTTGTTCCAGATATTTGGAGCATAATAACTGAACGCTGCTTTACCATGTTTAGTTCTGACTCTGGGGACAGAAAGCTGACCAGTCCCTGAAGACCTGAGAGATCTGGATGGTTCATAATTTAGCAGAGGTCAGAAATGTATTTTGGGCCTAAACCATTCAGTGCTTTATAAACCAGGCAGCAGCTATTTTTGAAATCTATTCTTTGAGACACACAGGAAGCCAGTGTAAAGACTTCAGAACTGGAGTGATGTGATCCACTTTCTTAGTAATGTGAGGACTCGAGCAGCAGCGTTCTGAATTAGCTGCAGCTTCCTAATAGATTTTTTAGTGAGACCTGTGAAGACACCATTGCAGTAGTCGAGTCTACTGAAGATAAAAGCATGGACAAGTTTTTCCAAATCCTGCTGTGACATTAGTCTTTTATCCTAGATATATTCTTTAGGTGATAGGTAGGCTGATTTAGGTAACAGTTTATTTAATGTGACTGTTGAAACTCAGGTCAGAGTCCATGACTACACCTAGATTTCTGGCTTTATCGTTGTTTTGAACTTGCACACTGAAGCTCAGCGCTAACTTTTATACGTTCTGCCTTGGCTCCAAAAACCATTACCTCAGTTTTATCTTTGTTTAATTGGAGAAAGTTCTGACACATCCAGTCATTGATTTGTTCAATGCACTTACTCAGTGTTTGAAATCATAGGGAAATCACTTGACCCGAAATGATCTGGAAAACTAATGACATCTGTGTGAGATTTCTCAACTTGAAAGCAAACTGTTGTACATGAAGTCCCATCGAGCGTGATATTAAAATGTCCACTTTTACATCTTTCCGCCCAAGCTCTGTAAAAGCCCCGGCTGTTGGGCCAACGTGATGGAAACCTGAGGCTAATGACTCAAGCAGACGGCTGTGGGCATTAGACAACTTCATTTATGAAATAGTCAACCTCCCGTGTAGCGATACATTCACATTACCCCGCCTCACTTGAGAGACGCGCGGCTGTCACAGCCACTGAGCAATGCTGATGTCCTTTACCTGCATTCATCTTACTCTCAGGAGGTAATGGTCTTCTCAGGTCATTTGCGCATTAAGGATCTCGATCATTCATCTAACCCACCTGCAATCCTGCTGGTCCTCTGCCGCAGCACACATAGGGATGTTTAGAAGACAAGGAAAACATACATGCTCTGAATCATTTATTTGCTCTCTTTTTCTACTCCCAGTGCTCCCTGTGGCCAAAAGTGTCTGCAGAAGGCTATTTATGCACAAGCAGGTCATGTTAAAGATTGATTGTGGGGTGTAATTTGTAGATTTGTGCTTGGAGGAAATCAGGGGTTTTACCTGAACATGTCATGCTGTTAAATAATGTTCACCTCTGTGTGGCAACAGGATGGCTAAATCTGTCCGAATTATAGTCTTCATAGCTAGTCATTTGGTGTTAAGAACATGTCCTAACGATTCTTAAATACAGAAATACATCTGAATCTTTTAGCAGTATAACTTCCCTTACTATGGTATGTTATTTAATCATTAAAGACCACAAATCCTCAGTTACAACCATAATAAGATAACCTTGTTCGTCACGGACACATCCCCTTACCCTAACAGTGTCTCGTGTCAGTGTATCGTCTGGTTTTGTGGTGAATTGAAAGCATCTGTTGAAGCAGTAACATGAATATTAGTGCAGAACGTCACGTCGGTTTGAACAGTGTTTGAACAAATAGTGTTGAACGAGCAGCAATTTCAAGAGTGCAAACTCCAAGTCAAGTTTGTTTTTAATCACAAAGAATCCTTTTAATGAATTGATTGAAACAATTAAAACAGCTAAATGATGTGTAGTCTCTCTAGTAAGTGGCCTTGGATGTGTCGGAAAATGTAAAGAAAGTGAGATCATGCAGACAGTTTGATTTTTGCTTTACCTTGAACGCAGACAGGCTGATGGAGGACGGTACATTAATCTCTTTAATGGGGAGGATTCAGACCCACCTGGCATATGTACAACCATTAATCTGCTCATGCTGAATCATGCTGCTCAACATGTGTAAAATGTCCCAAAATGTAATGCATAGATCAGATCAATGTCGCAGCACAGAGAGATGCTTTTCGCTTTATCTCAAACATGAACTGTTTTAATGTGTTTTCACTTAGTGTCTGCATTTAGTATTCAAGTCCATTTTGATGTGGGAAGGAGAACAAAACACACCAGTGGCTGAGGCCCACACACACATTTCTCTAGGGCTCAGCATCACACTGTTCCCTTCCTCTTTTGCTTTTACTTGATGTGATACTACTCCCCGTATCTTTCACAAGCTGTTTGGCTAACAGAGGTCACCGGGGATATGTAGCGCATTTGGTCGTGATGTGAAAGCATTAGTCGGTGCCAGCAGGTGTGTAATTATATATGAAACAGGGTTTTAAAAACATCAAGATGGCATGCAGAAAGTAGGCCAGGAAAAAAGCGACTTCAGAGAAGTCCTATTTATTCCTCCCCAACTTCAAATGTGTGACTTCGTATTTGAAATATTCCAAGGTCATTGTGACTATTTCAAGACTTTTATAAATAACATCAAACAAACAACGACATAACGTGATGAAACAAACCTCAAAAGCGGATTCTTTCAAAGGAATATATTATTTTGTCTTGTTTTTTCACCCGGTGTGCTTACTGTTCTGTTTTCTGTGTTTCAGGTACGGGGACATGGTGCCAAAAACAATCGTGGGCAAGGTGTTTGGGTCCATATGCTCTCTGAGTGGTGTGCTGGTCATCGCCCTGCCTGTCCCTGTCATCGTGTCAAACTTCAGCCGGATCTACCACCAAAGCCAGCGGGCGGAGAAGCGACGAGCCCAGAGGGTACTGACACTCCCCCTCCCTTCTTTTCCTCCCTATCTGTCTTTATTCTGCTTCTATCTGCCTTTCTGTCCCTGCCTTATCCACAAGTAACAGAATGACAGGGCAAACACTATCTTCCAGAATATTAATCTGTTATTGTGTTTCTGTGTATGTGTGTGTTGGATGGGTCAGTAAGAGAAATAGATAAGAGAGGGAATGACAATGACTGAACAAATGATTTTCAGAGTATAGTGTCAGCAGCTTTTCAATAGCAATATGTGCATTTCTTTCTCAAAGTGTTTGCCGTGGCAGAATTTCCTAATGGTTGAGTTAAGCATGGCCTCTCCCTACTAAATACTGTGGCTGCCGGAGGGAGACAGCATCAATTAGCCTGACAGAGAAACCGTCAGAGGCTAAAACAGAGGTCTGTTTGTTCAAACAGAAATCTCGACTTGCTAGAATCCGCGCTGCGAAGATTCGAGGCACTAATGTCTATATGCGCTACAAACAAAACGGGCAGATCAACTCACTGGAGGAGGTAACAGGACCAAACAGCGGCTTGGCTGACCGGGGCCTCGCTGATGCTTGCATGCCGCTCTGCTCGGGGGGCCATGCCACCACACACGGGGGGGGGGGGGGGCGTCTCATGCTGCTGTCATTCCAGCGCTTCAGTGTGATCGTCTCTTACATCACACCTCTCAGCTGCGGCATCGACATGCTTCCTCGACACTCTCTCTATCCATACAGCAGGAGGGCCAGGCAGTTGCCTTCTGGCAGAGCACGGCCATTACAGTCACACTGACTCATGACAAGCTCTGCATGTCTGTCCAACAGGGTTTGGAGGGGAAGGAGGGAAACTCTCCAGTAAAGCTTACTGGACAGTGGGTCTATGGAGGCTGTCTGCTCTCCTGCATCTCCTCTAAACTCTGTCTCTGATCTGCTGTGTGTTCTGTGTGTTATTTCTAGAGCATCCAGGTTGTAATGCAAACTAACACAACATACCTTCCATCCCAGAGCCGTGCAGAGCTTCATCCACGTGTGCGGTGTTGTTGTGGTCCAGAATCTGTGACGTGTTTGGTGCAATCTGTCCGATCTGTGTCTAGGTGTGCCACTGCTGTTGCACTGAAATTAGCTCTAATTTGACATTTCTGGTCCTTCTCACCAAATCAGCGTAATGGCAAAACCAATGATATCAGTGAAACATGTTGTAGTCAGCCACTGTCTCTATGCATCTTTAAAACATCCCCATCCCGCCAGGTTCTCAGTAGATTGGCTGCCGTGCTACAGATCAGCATTTCAACCCTCAGTGCTTTGTGTACTCTCCACTACATCACCGAGCTGTTGCCTGACACTGTTTCTGTGCAGAGTGTGAACCTGCTCATCTACACTGTTGTTTCTCTCACTTTGTATGTTCCAAGGCCTGCAAGGAGGCAGGAAAAGCCCTGGTGGCGAAGGCCGCCAGCCCTCCTTTTGAGACCCAGCATAATCACCTGCTGCACTGCCTGGAGAAGACCACGGTAAAATCTATTTTCTTTTCTTTTTCAGTGGAAAAACAGACACTCACTTATCGATCAGTCTTACTATCTTGGTAACAGATTTGAGACAGTTTAAAATAACTCACTGTAAAAAATTATTTATGTAATGTTGCATCACCTCTGTCTGTGCTGTATCATGCAGCAGTGCGGTCCAGCTACAGTGTTTGGCAAATAGAAACAACGTGAGCTGTTTCATCCATGCACAAACTCTACATTCTATATGATATGCAGCACGTGTTAAAAATAGCTGTAAATGGGGCAGGGAGATGTTGAATCCCCTCGCCAGCAACATGCTAAAGATAACATGACTCAGCCAACCAGAAACATTACGCCTCTCAAACAAACAAGCACACTTCATTTTACACAATGTATAATTTACAGATGTAAGAGCGCCCATAATGCTTGGCTGTGACATGATTTTTACACTTGCCGCTCTAAAGCCATGGACAGGCAGTAAATCAGTCTCCCTCCTTACACTGTATGATCCTCTCCATAGTGAAAGGCTTGCTTGTCGTCCGGGAAAAGCTCCAAAAAGGCTTCTTGCCATTCAGATGGCAGCGCACATGTTTACATTAGGCCCATCATGGCGTGCATTATAGATGGCAGGACTGACAGAGGGAAGGTATAAGAAAGGAGGCGTGATTCAGAATACTACCGTGGCATCAGATCCTGCGTGGCTCCTCTGCCACCTGCTGGCTGCGCCGGAAACACATTTGGAGCCTGACCTTCAAGTCATTCTCATTTGTCACAGGGATAACAGTTGTGAATGTTTTCACAGATGGCACTTAATATGGACATCTGTGCCAATATATTTCTATTCCCGTGATGACTCATTTTCAAATTATTAAACCATTTTACTGTGGATTCTGTTCAGTCTGTTTAGTCTTTACCCATTATTTAGAGAGCCAATCATCGATGTAATAGAGTGATTCATGAGCAACATTGAATCCAAAATGTTCCGCCATTTTGCAGAACCACGAGTTTGTGGACGAGCAGACGTTTCAGGCCAACTGCATGGAGATCTCTGTGATGAACAAGTCGGGGTCCTGTGCGTCCTCGCTGTCCTCGTCTCCACACGGCCTCAGCTCGTGCTGTTCACGACGCCACAGGAAGAAGAACAGCTTCAGCCTGCCCAGCACAAACAACCAGGAGCTCAGCACCATCCAGATCAGAGAGAGGCCGATGGTCAACAGGTAGTATCCTCTGTTTGATTCACACACACATGCAAACAGCAGATATTGTATTATAAGACAAGATACACTTTATTGATTCCTTGCTGGAAAATCAACTGATACATTTATTCATAGGTATATAGTCAGATAGTAGGGAGGAAAACATACTGTTGCTTTCCTGTAAAAATCAGGTATCTCTTTGTTTAGTTTCTATGGATTTATGGCAAAACTGAGGCATCTTTTGTGGATTCATTAAAAGAAAAATGCATTTTTATGAATCATCAAATACGGTTGTTCTTTATCTTATTTTGGAGATACATGGATTTCATTTTACATACCGCTACCTCTACTGGTATCTATCTTCAGACAGTTTTATTCTCCATGGTCTAAATAAATCTATCTTTGAGATTTCTGCTTACAAACCAGCACATTGGAACTGAATGCAATTGGGTTTGTGTTGCTCAAAGATAGATAGAAAAACAGCAACATGTCCCTCCAGAGACAGCTTCCCTAATCCACAGGAATTGCAGTTTTCAGTGAAACTACTACAAAGAAATAGACCCTCTTTCTGTGAAAACTGTAGAACAGCTTGTTCTTTGGATTATCCATTGCAACTAGGACACTGTATTCGGTGTCGCTGGTGATTTTGATGCTGTAAACTGCAGTAAATGAAATCCAGACAACCTTTATTATACAGCAGAATTATTAGAGATGAATATTTAATAGAAATGCTGTAAAATCTTTCATTCGGACTGTGAGAAACCCTGTTATTTAATTAATTGGGTGAAATGACACCCATTAATCTTGGTGTGAAAGATACCACATACATAGCTGAGAATGATTTTTCATTGGTTTGCCTGTCATCACAGGTTATCTTCTTCTGTGAATCCTAATTGCACGTGCAACACGACAGTACAGACATCAAATGAGGATGTATTTATCAAGCATCTGAAAACACATTTAATTGGAGGATTCTAACAAGTTTTGGTTCAAGATGGACATGTAAAAGAGCTTTCATATAGCGATTCCTCTCACCTCTTTAATCTCGGACAAAAGCAGAAATCTACCCTGAAAACATATATATGGTTAATGAGCAACATGAGACAAAGCTCCTTTATGTATTCACTCCGTACAAAGCATGCGGGTATTTCTGAATTGTGGCTTTTATACTGAAACTGTAAAATAATAAAGAACTCTGTGTAATGCAGGCTTTGTGTAATACATTCACATGGTCAGAGCTCTCACCTGCTTTCATCCTGTGTCTGTTTTACAGCCGCTCCAGTCTGAATGCCAAACTTGATGGGACTGCGCCCTTGAAATGTGACAAATCTTACATCACTCCTTCCATGGTCAGCCTATCTGCCCCGGTGGTGACCTCATCGGACGGGCACGGCTCCACCACCACCTCCACATACTCTCAGAGCAACATTGTCCGAGTATCTGCCTTGTAGATGTCATGCTTATCTGATCAGCAAACTGGTCTCAAGAAGCACCAGATGCTGAGGAGAGGGACCACCGAGCATCAACCTGCCATAATCTAGAGGGATTATAAGATTAGCAGAAATCTGGTTTTTTTGAAGTAGTGATCTCATCTGATGTCAAACTCTGCATGGTATTACAATGATGTGGACGGCTGCCTTGGATATATGAGCGAACCAGCAGATCTTGCTCCATTAAGCACAGCAGAGCAACGGGAGTGTTTGGACTGCGTGGTTATCGTTGTTGCCTAAAAATACTGAGAAAACTTTATTTTTGAATATGTAATGTAGTTGTAATTGTTGTCTTCTGGTTCAAAGGAGGAGAGGCAGACGTTACAAGGTCATTCATCATGGCCTCTGAGGACAAAGCACACATATTCATTAACCAAGGGCCATCTTTGTGAATATTAAATCCGAATACTTACACAGAAGAAACATTCACTCACCACCCACTAAAATAGATTGTTTTGAAATCCCTCAATTAACTGCTTTCCAATAGTCCCCTCACTGTTGTAAATTCAGAAAACATGCATCCACTGGAATGGATAACTGTTGTGAATATTCATTAACTGACTCATTAACTGGTTGGTGTCATCGCTTGATGAGTAAAATATGCTTCGCATCATGACATGTTTGTGAAATGTGCAAATGCAAGTCAAAATGACAGAATCTGTGTTAATTTACATATTTGACATTCTGATATGGATCTATGTGAAAGCCATTGTCATTAATTAACAATTGATATTGCGAAGTATACAGGGTACATACAGTATTAGTTAGGTCACAAGGTAGAGATATAAGTTAATGTTCTCCGCAACACTTAACTAATACTAACCCTAATGTTGACTTAAACCATATGAAAGAATGTTGGACATCAATTCCACTGAGTTGCTCTTAAATTCTAATATTCATTATAATCAGCGAGACTTGGTAGATTTCACTGTGTTAAAGGACCATTTTGTACATTTTTCATATTGTAAATATCTCAGTTAGAATTTATCAAATGCATTTGAAGTTGGCTTCTCTTATTTCTAGATTTAGTTGACAGTTGTTGCCATACTATTTCTGTCTGTTAACTGGTTGAATTAAGGATTTGCATGCTGTCATTGCAGAGTTCTGTTTTATTAAAAGTATGTCTTCTTGTCGGAGGTTTGTCAGTAAAAATGAGATTAATGAAAGGAAACACAATGAGCCTGGTATGTTATGATGTAAATTCTTTGCTTTTAATGAAATGAAAAAATCTTGTCATGGGTGAGGAAAAAGGGATAAATAATCACACATTGTGCATTTGGTGCAGTGGATAGAATAAATGCTGTAGCTCTATTGAAAAACCCATTAAATGACCCATGTCTTTTGTTTTTAATAGGGTGGATTTCATCATGTTTTGCCTGATTACTCAAAGAGCTAATAATAATAGGATGGAATAATAATTAGGTGCTGCTGGAGGACATGTGAGGGCTTGACTGTCCCAGTGGTGGGTCTCTGCTGCGGGGTCTCTGGAGACAGACAGGCGGGCCTCAGTGATTGTTTGACAGAGGCCTCCGCTGCGGCCCCCTGCTGAGCCCGCTGCGTAGGACCAGGCTGTTTCTCCCAGCATGCAGCGTCTCCGCTCTGCTGTGTTAAATAACCGCTGTGAAGTCAGGCTGCATAAAATCTAAGATAACACAGCAGCATATTAAATAATAAAACCTCCTATACCCAAATTAAAATTCACACTTTGACGTCTGGGGTTTAACTTTGTTACTATTTGAACAATGACCAGAGAAACCATTCTAGTATTCAGTTACATACTGTATATTGAATTTGGTCTAAAGAAAAGTAGTCAGAAGTGGAAATATTATCACTTCTTAGTGAATCTGGACACACATTTTGTTTTCAACCTATAAAACTCCGTCCTAAACTGAGGGTTCACTGCTGCATATATGATTGGGTTACTCAGTGATGTGATGCAGGTGACAGACACTGACAGGATCTCCACTTCATTAATGACTTTCACCTGAATAATCACAGGAAATGATAAAGTGTTAGAGAACAGATCAAACTTGGAGTCATTCTATCAATCTAAAGAATAAAGCGTTTAAACCTTGGGCTCTGAATACGTGTCAGATGTGTATATCATATATTTTATGCCGAAGCAGCCCCTTTACATTCAAAGTTTGGATACATTACTGCAGCATATACATCTATATAAATCACATATAGTGTGCACAATCATGACATTCTTAAATAGAGCCTGGAAACTGTGAGAGGCCCGAATACACATTTTAGTATAAAGCACAGTTATTCTTTCATCCACTACAAACTAAAAGCTTTTACATATAAAAAGACAGTAGAAGTTCAACCCTTACCAAACAAATACGTACCTGTGGGTTTTTGTTTCCGTGAACAACACAATTAATCAGGATAGTGATGATCAGTGGTAGCCAGAACAAGAGGAAGGTTACAATGATGTAGCCAGCACGCTTCGCCATTTTGCTCTCCTTCTTTTTGCTTGCTCTCTCTCTACTTGCTTTGGAAGGCATCATGCAAACAGCACCTTCCACATCTTGTTTAGTAGCATCTGCTTCTGGGACATTACTTGAGTCGGGGGGTAATGAAGACCCCTGATCTGCTGTAGAAACATTCAGTGTTTCTCCTCCATTGTTGCTCTTATCTTGTTTTGGTTCAATCAGTAAAACAGAAGTGGGTTCTGGATTTTCTAACTGTGCAGACGAGTGAACATGGGGGCTGGCTTCTTTCATTTCAGAGGGCACTTCGTCGATGTTCACTCTTTCTTTGGATGGCTTTTCTGTGTTGAAATTGCTTGACACCTTCTGTGGCATTGTGGTTGAGCTCTTAACACTAGCAGCATCTCCATTTGATAGTTTCACCTCAAATTCTGTGCCACAGGGATTGGGCTGCTCTGCTTTTAAAGGCTTCGTCTCAGACTGCTCTGCAACCTGCAATGCAGGGGGATGAAGTGTTTCTGTTTCCAAGTCAGATATCACTAATGTGTTTTTTAATTCCTTTTTCATCTCTGAACCAAGTGATGCACATTGTGGAGCTTTTGTCGAGGCCAGTATAGCATCCGCAGAATCTTTGTTAGAAACATTTTGTTCAGCTGGTAGTTTCCCCCCAGCAACACTTTTGCTCAGGTTTTGCTCAGATTTTCCGTGTCCATTTTCCACTGCTGTGGTTTCTTCTTTCTTCTGCTCATCTTCTGTTTTGTCTTTCTTTGAAAGAGGAAAAGAACCTTTGTCAAATATTTTGCGATTGTGTGTTCTCACAAGGAGAAATATGCTTGTGTAGAATCCAATGATAACACTAATGCAAGCTGCCCACAGTGGGAACAACATGTAAAGTCCAAAGGTGTCATAGCTGGATGATGTTTCCATTGATAGTCCTGTGCATCTTTCATGCACCGGAGAGTCCTTCATGAGTATCAGACAAAAGGCAGCAACCAGAATAGCCAAGGTCCACATTAGAGGAATCAAAACCATAATCCGTCTTCGCCTCTGAGTGGTGGTGAAGGGTCGGGCGATGGCCTGGTACCGCTCTGCGCTGATACTGGCCAGAGTCAACAGTTGGATGCAGCAGCTGAAAGAGAAAAAGGCCACTTGTGTATCACAGATTAACTGGTGTACGTGTCCTCTGTGGTTCACAGTGATGACTATGGTTAGGAGAATGGGGCAGTCAATCAAACATCTCAGGAGGTCTATGACTGCGAGGTTCACCACCAGTGCATTGTTCACATTTTGCAGGGATTTTTGTTGATAAACTGCCAGTATGACAAAAAGATTTGCTCCAATCCCCACGGCACAGGTGATCAACAGGATCAAGCTGTTGGCAACTACAAAGGCAATGTCAGAGTACTCCTCCCAAAAGGTGGTGTTCCCAGAGTCCCATGCAGGTGTGAGCTCGCCTCTCATCTCCAGGTTCAAAGAGTCAACATGTTCAGTTCTGTATCTTCATTCTCTCTACGCCGCAGTGAGCCTGCTTTGCTTGCTGGCAAGTGATTCTCCACTGAGTGAATACTATTAATGGGGGAACCTGTAGCTCTGATAAGTATCCGCCCTTTTCATTATCACTCCACTGCCGCAGCAGGTCACCTGGGAGTCCTCACTGTTAACATTCATTAAAGACTGTGCAGTGTGTCCACAGCACAGAGGAATGGAAAAAGGGATGGTTGTTAATTGAAAAGTATTTACGTCACTACTGTCTCAAAAGTAGATATGCAATAAGGCTGATGGTATGGCACTAAGGTGCATCGGATATACATGCAGGATGTGTGACGTGAACAGCTGTCCATTTCCTTTATTACAATACCTCACAACAGGGTTAAAAGCCTTGCATTAAGCAGATGGATGACTTGGGAGTTCCTGAATTGGCTCAGGAAATAAAGGGAGCCATGCTGCTGGATTATAGCATAGCATTGTGTAATCCTGTTTGGAGATAAAGTGTGAAATGCTCTTTGCTTCGAATGGGGAAGCTTATGGTCTAGGCCAAATCTGGGATTATATCAACAAAATACATTTTCCTCCAGACCATCCCACAAATTAAACTGATCATGTGTCTGTCAACATTGTGTAGATACAAACAACGTTTTTGAAAAGAAACTGTGATGAAACAAAAAGCCACTTATGGAATGTCTTGGCACTAAGCAAATTACTTTTTTTAGGACACCATATGCTAAGACATCACATAATGAGCAATAAATAAAAATAGAAAGAGTACTTTCTATTTATCTACAAAGGGACGATTGTACATCAAACGTGCCAAACAAGTGGGAGGGGACAGGACAAAATAAGTAGCAGGACAAAATCACCCAATCTATTTTTAACAACAGCCCAATTATATATACCAATCACAATAGGGCACCCACCACTGAGTATGTGCAGTGATGCAAATAACTTTTTTTTGGAAAGTATTCAGACCCATTTTTACATTTTATCAAGTTGCAGCCTCTTGCAACAATAGTTTGCACTTTTTAAATAACAGATCATTCTACAATACCCCAACAATACTCCGTAAAAACCCCATAGGGATTTTAGATATTTCGACAATTTTATTAAAAGGAAAAGGCAGGAATATCACATTGACTTCAGTTCTCAGAACCTTTGCCATGACACTTAAAATGTCCCTTATGTGCTTACTGTTTCTCTTCATTGTCTTTAAAAGTGATTACACATTGACACATGCAATGAATTAACCTGATTGGACATGATTTGGAAAGTCTCTTTAAGGTCTCACAGATTATAATGCATATATGAAGGGAAAAAACAAGCCTTGAGTTCAAAGGAACTCAATGAATAGCATTGGAGTACAGATTTGGGGAAGGCTAGGATCAGATCTGCTGCACTCGAGGTTCCCATAGGCACATTTTAATTCTTTAAGGGAAGACGTTTAGAGCAACCACCACTCCACCTGGGGCGGACCGCCAAACTGAGCAATCGGGGGGGAGAAGGGGTAACGAAGAACATGATGGTCACTAACGATGAGCTCCAGGAAACATGAAAGAAACTTCTAAGGACTATGAGAATGAAAAACAACATTTTGCAATCAATTCTTACCATCAAGTCTAAAGGACGTGAGGTATATGACACATAATTCAGCTTTTTGTAAAAATAAGAATTGTCAGTTTATATACTTAAGGTTTATTGTGAAAAGATGCTGCATTTAATCATATTTTAATAAACATAAAGAACAAATACAATAAATAAGGTATAGTAGATTATATAATTGTCCCTCTGAGATCAAAACATTATAGCACTAAGTCAACAATCAGAACACTCATTATTTGTGTCCTTTTTCTTTATTTTTATTCAGTGATTCATATCAATCCTTGTTTCGGGGTGACTCAGTGCGGACTCATGCGTGGACCATATAAGACACAATGTCCTGGCTTTGAATGAGACTCAGATTTGTCGTTACTTTTCTGAACCCAAACCCCCCTCTGAGTTCTAATTATAAAAATACTAATTATAGCACCTATTTAAGTAATAATGACAATATTAAGCATATAAATACGAAATTGAAATAGCACAAAGTAAGCCAGGCAAGAAAAACATAGAAAGCAGCATTTCACAGCCTGACTGACTTCCCATTGTTAAAACATGAGCAAAGTGAGATGTGTAGCAGGCTCGACAACCAGTGCACCCAAACGCCCCATGTTCTTGATTTAGTGGGTATTACAGAACTGATTTATATTCATTATGCTACTTCTATGGATTAAGGCCAGCCACACAGTGTGAGAGCATATTATGTTGCCTTTGCAGCTTTCCTGAAACGGGTTAGTAATTGTTCTGAGTAAATCCTGTATTCACACAGGTGCTTATGAGGGAAATTATGCATGTTTACCTTGCAGCAATCTAATAGTGTGTTATGTGCAGCACACTCCTGCGAAGTGTGAGTGTTGGCGAGCGTGAGGCCTTGTACATTATTTGTCCAAGCTATCAGTGTTGATGACACGGTGGAGCTGGCTATGGTCGACATTGATTTAATAAGGAAGAGTTGCCGAGCAGTATGTGTATAACTAGCAGAGTATTTGTTTCCAAAAAGGGCAGCAAAATCTACTAGATATGAATCAATATTTCATGCCACACAGAATGCTTTTCACCAATTTCCCTAACATGTAACCCGACCTTCAGAAAGGAGTATCTTTTCACAAAACATGTACAAAGGTCAAGTGCATTTTATTTATAAACAACATCACAGGGGTCAAAGCTTTCACTTCCTAATTCTCTCTTTACAATCTGGCTGTATTTGACTTGCCTATAGTCTTGTTAAAAATGCTAAACCCCCTTTATTTTTGGCTAGTTTCCCCACATGCATAAATCCCTTTCATGCATGAATTATGAAAACCTCAGGATTTTTTTATCAAGTGTTTTTATTGCTCTTGGGGCATGAGAAACAAGATTTGAACTTTAGTTTTTTTTAATCTAGTTTTTTCAAAGATATTTTTATATGTCCACTCAGGTGGACAGTATGCGTTCAGGGTTTGAACTGAAGAGATGTATATTTTGAAGAAATGATAAATAAAGATTTGCAAACTTAAAATTACATTATAATAACATAAGTATATTGATTTACGGCCCAAAAAGATATTGCAGATGAAGTATTTTCAAGAATAACCAGGGTCAGGGGCCAATTTGAGGCCCCACGCACAGTTATTTGATGAGTGCTAGTGGAGCCTCGCAGCGGCGAAACCGTGCCGCACCACCCTATTTGCGCCACATAAGCACATAGGTGCGCCTCAGATGAGGCCCCCCTCCGCAAGGTGTGGCTGCCTCCACAAGGTGTGGCCCCACACAGTCTGCATGATCTGCCTGTAGGGAGGGACAGCCCTGCAAGAAATGCAGCATGAATAGCTGTGACCTCTATGCATGAAAGATAAAGTACACACCTGGAAACATCAATATGAAAAAGGTTAACGTTTATTGGTCTACACAAATCACAGAAATAAAACCGTATTACTGAACACTTTGTTCTAGAAAAATGGAATGGACAATAACTAAAGGAAAACCTTGCAATATAATGCAATTCAATAAAATGACAAAACTAACTTTCAGACAAAATCAACTAAAATCTTTTATAATCAACATTTTGGAAAGGATTGGATTGCATTACTGTGTTTTATAAGGTTTTCCACTTATTATGTCCATCTTCAATCCATCAGTCAATGAGCCGATCTGCTCTCACTGGGCTGCAGGTCGGACCCCACGGAGAGACATGGGCGTGTAGATGGTCTGCGTCCTTAAAGAGGCAAACAATGACAACCATGGCAGCTTCTTGGTTTTTCCTGGGGGAGGTCACAGAGGCAACACCCTGCTGTGCGAGTTGGTGCTCAAGGCAGTCAGCCGGCTCCTCCTGTTCAAGGTCTGCATGTTGATGCTGACATCAGTGTGAGCGCGAGGTATGAAGTGACCGCACGACAACACCTCCAGAGCGGCGTCACGGAACTGTTGGACATAAAGAAACCAAATGCATGAGCTTTAATTTCACATGCAATTCAAATCAATGTTACTGTGCATGCCTTTCCAGCTAGCAAGCTCCCTTTCTTTGGAATCAACTTCCTGTTTTTATGAGGGAGGCAGACAGTGTCCAAACTTTTAAGAGTGTGCTGAAGATTTTCCTTTAAAAAAAGCAGATTGGGTAATCTTAAACCAGCTTGAACTATGTTGAGTACATTTTATGGTATTTTTTTGTTTTATTATATTCTTATTCTCATTTTGGTGTCTCATTTAATTATATATATAAATATTTATTTTATTATTTATTTTGTTATTTGTATTTTACATTCTATCTTGTCTTTTATTATGTTATTTTCATTTTACATCTCCTTTAGCACTGTAATTCATGTTTTTTAATCTGTAAAGCCCACAGAGATAAACTGCTTTGTGATATTTGGCTTTAAATGAGCTTTGAGTTGATTTGATTTGATTTTCAATTTCACAGCTGCTTACCTGCTTGTTGGTAAGGAAGTAGATGATAGGGTTATAGACAGGGCTGGTTTTAGCAAAGTACATGGGTATGGTGGCGACCAGAGGAGGGATGTAAAGCTCCGGATCCACAACGACCACCACTGACAGCACCGTATAGGGCAGCCAGCACACAAAAAAAAGAGAGATCATGGCCAGGACCATAGTGATGGCATGGTCATTCTCCTTCTTGCTGGAACGCCCACCCTGCATCTCCACACTCCTGTTCAGCTGCGAGTAGAAAGGAAATGTGACTCCCATTAAAGGCTAACCGCTCCATTTAGTCAGTAGGTGGTTAATTGCAAACACGAGTATGTGGGTATGAGTTTTAAATCTACTTCTAATGGTGTTAAAGTGTAATAAATATACAGAAGCCATTATTGGGCCCACCTTGTTCATGGATTTGAGCACTTTGCAGTAGCAGTAGATGATGATTATGACAGGCAAAATGAAGCAGAGGAGTGTGTAGAGGATGAGGTAGCTGTAGTTGCTCCACGACCGCTCCTCCCAGGCCAGAGAGCAGGATGTCTGGACCCCCTCAGGTCCGTAGGAGCTCCAGCCCAATAAAGGAGCGACCGCCCAAAACAAGCAGAAGAACCAGACAAGTAGCAAGCCGACAATGCTTCTCCGCATGCTCATCTTCAGACCCTCTCTGGGCTTACACACCACATTGTAACGCTCGTAGGCAAGCAGCGTCAGAGTGCAGAGAGATACCAGACCTAGGAAAGAGCAATTCATAAAAAAAAAAAAACTAAGCCTAAAGTCAAACTACTGTTTTTTTCTGGAGATGTTCACTAATTCTCATGGATGCTCTCAGAGAACTGTGCTTGCATCTTCAATATCTCCATAACAAATTGAGCAAGCTCCATCCACTGAGAAAGCTATGTTGTTGAAAGCTCTGAAAGAAAAGCTACTGCGTGTGCTTTGAATTGCATTGAAACTTTAAATCAGAAAAACACATTTTTCAAGAAAGAAAAATTGAATTGACAACATCTGATAAGAGCAGAGACATTTTTAAAAAGCTTCAAGCTGAGCCAAAAACATAAATGTGTTTGTGAAGCTACAAAACATACTGACATAAGGTAAAGTGAAAGAAATAGATTGATATTTTAGCCTTACAATTGTGTTTATTGTGTTTCTAAAAGACAGACCCCAAGGCACAGAGAAAAAACAACTAAATTGCTCACAAAAAGTCCATAGAGCACAAACTGCTCTCTCCAAAAAAAATTGCTCCACTTACCAAAATAATTTACTGCAAATCCCTGGAAGATGCAGGCTGTGTGTCCGATAAAGAGATGCCCATGGTAGTTGGTAATGGTGACGACCAGAGATCCGCACAGGCCGATCATGAGGTCAGACACTGCGAGGCTGAAGATTAACACGTTCATGGGCTGCAGGAGAGACGGGTTCCTCAGCATCACGGTTATCACCAGACTGTTGTTGAACACCGAGAACACTGTGTTGATGAACATGAGGAAAGCCAGTATACTGTAGCCCACCCGAGGGAAGATGGTGGACGCAACAGTCACCCCCTCGTCGTAGATGAAGCCAGGATGTGTGCTGGAGATGGACGGCGTGCTGTTGCTGTCCTCCATGATGCCTAAATGAAGTTCTGCCTCGAGGAAACCACTATGAGGCCAGAGAGTGAACCCGCCGGACACAGCGTTGTCGATCTTATCACATCTGATCCCTGATAAACCAGTCAGCTTTGCTTATTGTCAAAGGTCTCAGATTGTGCACCTGTCTGATGGAGAAAGCCTCAAATGCAATATTGGAAATTGGTCCGTAACACGATTTGAATGGATTAATCCCAATAAACCCACTTCTATAATGGTAATTGGAAAGTTGAGGGATATTAAGGAATGAATTAGTACTGAAAATTAATTTAATGAAATATGGTTTCCCTTTAATGTTAGCTAATATAAAAAGGGAAAAAAAGATCACAGTACACAAACGGATTAGACATTCAATAAATACACACCTGCTAATTACATAGCAATTACCAAACCATATCAATTTGCTTTAGAATACGAAATAAGCACTTGGCTCGGATCATTAATTCATTTCTACTTTAATAAATAGTGAAAAAAAAAATACACCTCATTATCACATCTTTTTAACTAAAGAAACAAAAATAAACCACTGTTTACACTCATAATTCGCGTTTTCCAGATAATTATCAAATATATTCTTCTCGTGCATTCATCCTAGCACGTGTGAAAACATTTGACTTCTGCAGAAGTGTCAAATACAAGAAACTCAATGATGCCTCAACCCTTGTGTGGTATTCATATTTTTGTTACTCAGCCAGTGTTCGTGGGTCTTTTGGACCCGTTGCCTTCTGGGCTTCAATTCAACACAATCAAACTATTTTATGTTAAAATACTCAACAGATTGTTACAGTTTGGGAAAGGTAGGACCCAAAAGCAGACTACAAAAAAAGGTAAGTTGGTCTAGAAAACAAAAGCGAGCTTTATTTTAAAAGCTTATGGCAAAAACATGGCATAAAACACAAAGGAAACCCTGCCCCCCTCCCCTCAAGGGACGGATTCCAGACGTCCCTACACAAAGTCAAACATTTCCAACTGGATGGGTGGAGGGGGTCCGGAAGACGGGTCTGGATCGACAGCCCAGGAAAGGCATAGTTCATTGAGGGGTTCTCGGACGGACGGCCCGGGGGCAAGGCAGAGTCCATGGAGGGGGTCTCGGACGGACGGCCCGGGGGCAAGGCAGAGTTTGAGGAGTCAGGGGGCCTTGCTCGAGGGCGAAGACCGCGGCTGGGGAACTCAGGGGGCCGGGCACAAGGACGGCAGGAGCTGGTGGAACCCCTGGCGGGTCAGGCGTAGACAGGACCCTGGACGGAACATGGGCTGGTGTCAGTGGGACCCCAAACAGGACAGGACATGGTGTTGGCAGTAAACCCGGCGGAGCACGTGTCGGCTGGACCCCCAACGAAACAGATGTTGGCGAGACCCCCAACAGGTCAGGGCACGGAGTTGGCAGGACTCCCAACGGAACCCCCAACGGAACAGGACATGGGGTTGGAAGGACTCTCAGCAGAACCTCCAACGGCACAGGACATAGGGTTGGCAGGACCCCCGGCAGAAGAGTAGTCGGTGGGACCTCCAACGGCACAGGACATAGGGTTGGCAGGACCCCCCGGCAGAATAGTAGTCGGCGGGACCCCCAACGGGACAGGACATGGAGTTGGCAGGACCCCCAGCGGAACCTCCAACGGCACAGGACATAAGGTAGGGACTTGAGAGGGGACTCGAGAGGTGACTTGAAAGGGGACTTGAGAGGGAACTCGAGAGAAGACTCGAGATGGAACTCGAGAGGAGTCTTGAGAGGTGACTTGAGAGGGAACTCGAGAGATGACTTGAAAGAGGACTCCAGAGGGAACTTGAGAGGAGACTCGAGAGGGAACCTGAGAAGGAACTTGAGAGGTGACTCGAGAGGGGACTCGAGAAGAGACTCGAGAGGGGACTTGAGAGGAGACTTGAGACGGTCGGTTCGCCGACAGAACACAGGGGGCTGGAGTCGGCCGGAACGCCGACAGGACACGGGGGGCTGGAGTCGGAGAGGTACGCCGACAGGACACGGGGGGCTGGCGTCGGCCGGAGAGCCAACAGGAGACGAGGGGCTAGAGTCGGCCGGTACACCGACAGGACACGGGGAGCTGGCGTCGGCCGGAGAGCCAGTACTGGAGCCAAAACTGGAGTCGGGACCATTGCTACTGGGGCCGGTACTGAAGCCGGAACCATGGCTGCTGGGGCTGGTTCTGGAGCCGGAACCATGGCTGTTGGGCATGGAACAGAAGCCTAGACCCTGGCTGTGTGAGCCAGGTAATGGAGCACAGAAGCATGGCTGTGTGGGCCGGTACTGGTGCACGAATCCATGGCTTTGTGGGCCGGTTCTGGAGCCGGAACCATGGCTGCTGGGGCCAGAACTGGGGCTGGAACCATGGCTGCTGGGGCCAGAACTGGGGCTGGAACCATGGCTGTGTGGGCCTGTACTGGAGCCCAAAACATGGCTTCTGGGACTCTGGCTGCTAGCCTGGACTTGCAACTCCTTCTCTTAGGAGCCTTTTGGAGGCTCAGTGGACCTCCAAAAGCCAGACGAGTACCTGAGAATGGCTCCTGGACAGGAGCAGGAAATGGGGAAGAAGCAGGGGTTGACTCCGCTCCAGACAGAACACACCGAGACATATGGTGTCAGGTTGGGAATTGGGAGGCAGGGGGCTAGCATGCCTGGGGCTAGCAGGCCGGGAATCACATGTCTGGAGGAAGTCCATAATCCAGCCAGGTAAGAACTTCAATAAACGTGGTTTCTCTGTTGCCAACCGGTGCGCCTCTACCAGAGCGGCCTCCTTCTGTATAACTCTGGACGCTCCTTTCCACCAATCATAGCAGCAAGCCAATACAAAAGTAAAATTCATTAATTCCACCTCAAATGGATCATCTGCTGGGTCCATTTCTGGTTGGTTTATTCTGTTAGGGTTTGGGAAAGGTAGGACCCAAAAAAAGGTAAGTTGGTCTAGAAAACAAAAGCGAGCTTTATTTTAAAAGCTGATGGCAAAAACATGGCATAAAACACAAAGGAAACACAAGGAAGATACAATACCAAAAAGCTGACGGTGACTGACATGGAGGGAGACAGGAAAAACAAAACAATGAACCGACAGGGGAACACAGGGAAAGACAAGAATAAATACAGAGAGGGGTAATCACAGGACAAGAAACAGCTGGGCAGGGGAGGTAGAAACACAAGGGCAACAGGTGAACACAATTAGACAGACACACCAGGGAAACTAACGACAGGAAGGAAAACACAGGGAGAAGGACCAGACAAGAAACAAGGAGGAAAACATGAAATAACCCCAAAACTAGACACACAAAACTCAAACCTTGACACAGATGTTTACTTCATCCCAATTACAAGCAATATAAACAGCATATATGGTTAATATTTGCCCTTTTACATTTGTTAGATCACATTAATTAATTAAAGTGCTACTAGTTTTTTTGCCCGCTGACCGGCTGGTCCTGAGACTCGTCTTTTTTTTGTAACTAGCTGATGCTCAATCTCATCCTCTTCTTCAAAGTCACTGTCAGACTCAGAATTCTCAGAAATGTGATCTTCGCATTCTGAAACCTCTTCCTCTACAACATCATCATCAAAATGGTTCTCTCGCTTCCAAAATCATTTGCACATCTCTGAGCAGAGAATCGTTTGGCCATCTTGATCAGTTGTGATAAGGACCCAAACTGGCAAAGCTTTATGTATTGTGTCTCGCCCCAAATTTGCAGCTGGTTCCCACAAGACATAATGCGGGAATGTGAGAGCAGACAGGTGTCGGTGGTTGAATTCATCAACAATGTTGCAACCTTGTGCGGGAATGGCAGACACACACACACACACACAATTCCCGAACATCCTGTATGTAATATAAATGTGTAGGGGGGGTGTACAGTGGGTGGTCATTGAACACACACACACACACACACACACACACACACACACACACACACACACACACACACACACACACCATGTATACATCACTTCAGGGGACATTACATTGACTGACATGCATTTCCTGGAGACTTATCCTAACCTTAACCATAACCATAGCCAACACATGCCTAACCCTTACCCTTACCCTTACCCTAACCCTAATCCTAAACCTAACCAAGTCTTCACCCTAAAATTAATGATTCCCCTCATGGGGACCTCCATTTTGTCCCCATAAGGGAGGCGAGTCCCCACACGTGACTGTGTAGACAGATTTAGGTCCCTGTAGGAGCCAATTAACTGTGGGTATAAAGGTAGGAACCTATGTGTGTTGGGGAGAGGTTCCGCCGGAAGGCCCATGGAGAAAGGCCATGACTGTGAGAACAGAGAAAAAAGAGTGTCGAAAAGCTGAACGCGGGTGGCGAAAAACAAATCTCCAGGTGCACTTTGAAATCTATAAAGAGAGACTTGGCCTTTATAATTTGGAATTGAAATTTGCCCGACAGTCTTTCTTCTCTGATATCATTGCCAAAAACAAAAACAACGCACGTGCCTTGTTCGCTACCGTCGACAGACTAACTAACCCCCCAGTGTCAGTAGCCTCTGAATTTCTATCCACCAGGGCGTGCAATGATTTTGCCTCCTTCTTCACTGACAAAATTCAGAAAATCAGACAAGCAGTCAGTGCCTCTGCATCAGGAACAGCAAATGTTTTGTCTCTGTGTCCACCTAATATCAATTCAGACATCATAACACAAATTCCATCAGATTAATGATAAAAACCTAGAGGACATTATACAACTTCTGAAATCCTACTCTTGCTGCCTTGATATTATTCCAACAGGATTTTTCAAAAATGTTTTTCCTTGCATGGCCTCAGATCTACTTCATATAGTAAACAAGTCTTTTCACTCATGCGGCTTTCACACCAGCACTTTTCCCTTTCTAGCTCCGAGCTAGAGCTTTTCTGGTTCAGCTCCGGTTTCCCTTTTCTGCTCCCGCTCTGTTCACACCGCCCAGACTGGTGCTGCCGCTGCTGCGTCATGACGTCATCGTTTACATCGCTGATTTGCTCCCCAAC